GAAATTAAATAAAGCTAGAAACCTGCTGGCTGCACCATTCTCTGTGCAAAGCCAATGCACTGGTCTGAAGACAGCTCCGAGTGGGCATGTGCTCCTGTCGGAAAACACACCAAAACACTCTCTCCTACTGAGGAGGCCAGCTAGACTGGACTTCACAGATGTGACAAGGGTCTTAAGCATGGGTGGGGGGGATGTGTCACCAAGGCAATTGATGTATTTGCTCTACGTGGTTACGCTCTCGTCTGTGCTCGTAAAAAGCACAACTCTCTCCCACTCCTCAGCAACACTTCATTTGCTCAGGAAAACTATCATGGAATCGAACCAAATCTGAAAAAACGATCACACTGGTTTTGCTGGTAGCAACTGAGTTTCAACAACAGTATCAGAACAGTTTTGGTATTGCTAAAGGCCTCTGGTTAAACAGACTCAGAAGCTTATAAAACAATATGTTTTTTCCTGCTAAGGATTGTTTTTTAAATACCCCCAAAGTTTTTGTAACACGTAGCTGAGATGCTCAAGTTTAGGAGATTCCCTCCTCACAGAACTGTCTCCTTTTAGAAGTCTCTTGATTCTATTAGCACAATATGAAAGTGCTTTCTCAAGGCATCAAAATTTATCTGGCATCGAAAGCTACGAGCTTTCATGGCACAGTTATTTATTATCAAACCAAAGATAACAAGTTTCACCAGATAAAGTGGGCGACACCAGTAAGAACATGAATTAGGGATTTTTTATATGCACATCAATTGAAGAAAACATCCATGGCGGATTACACATCCACTGGTGCATCTGGGGTAAGATGTGATCTACAGAACACTACTCGCTTGATAAAAAAACGATCTGTGACTTACTAGCCTATATTCTTCACCTGGTCACCACAGAGAGCACACTGATTTTCAAGCTAGATCCTCTGATACGTGTTCCCACAGTTGAGGATCTTCTATACTAAACCTTTTAAAAGCTCACATTAGCAGCAAAAACGTGCTCATCTTCCATGGACCTCACAGCATTCCATGTCACCTATCAGGCTTTTATGCCAAATGAGAGAATTTAGTGCGAGTCAGCCAGTGCTTGCAAGAATTCTCTTTTCCACTGCAAGGCACGGCATGGAGAGGAAGGTGACAGAGGAAGAACAGCTCCATTCAGAACCACCCGAAGGAGCTGGGTGTGTGAGCCTGGACGAAGCACCAGGCAGCTCTGTCTCTCCTGGGCTGCAGCCAATTTTCTCTTGGATAGTCTGGGCATTAAGGCAGAGTACTGCCTAACGTGGGACAGCTGCATCCCTAGTCCCTACCCCCAAACACTCTTAGTGCTATAATATAACTGTTTAACCTGGTTCTCTTTATATAAACTATGCACACATCGCCTTATGTTGTCTGTCATTTTAAATCACCTCTCTCATCAGGTAGGACAAATACTGAAAACCCACAGGCCTACTGGTGGGCATCAATGAAATACCACCACGTGTGCTGATGTCACCTGTGCCCATGATGATTCCTGAGTGACTGTGGACCTTAAGCACCTCTTTGTTTCAATGGACAGGAATGGGAAAGATTCGATACTTCCATGAATTGCACAAATGGAACAGCTTCTTTTTAACAGTGCTAAATAAACACCAAAAAAAGTGGGAAAAAAAGGGTTGCCCTTACTCTTTTGCAGCTGCTCTTCAGGAGGCTCTTCTCTTTGGATGGGGGGACAAAGCCACTATGTTGAATATCACTGGAAGGCAGTTCTTGTCCTCAAAGAAGAAAATGCACATCACAAATCATAGAATGGTTTGGGTTGGAAGGGACCTCAAAGATCATCTAGTTCCAAGCCCCCTGCCATGGGCAGGGACATGCTCCACTACACCAGGTTGCTCAAAGCCTCATTCAACCTGGCCTTGAGCACTTCCAGGGATGGGGCAGCCACAGCTTCTCTGGGAAACCTGGTCCACTGCCTAAATCACGTACAGCTTCTCTGTGAGACAGAGCAAAGTAAGAACTCCTGACAGCATCCTTGCCATGACAGCTCCCCAAGACAGCTGCTATAAACAGCCTGACTGAGATGAAGGCTCAGCCCCTTCCTCACACCTTTACTGGAGGGTTTGGCTCTGGGCTGTGACAGGCTGTGGGTACTCACTAGCAGCACCAATCTACTGTGGATCTGCATGTGCCATCATCATCCAGCTGGAGGAACCGCGGAGCGCAGCACGCTCCTCTGCTTTCACACCTCGGTTTTCCTCCAGTGGGAAACAAACTAGGACACGGAGCGGGATGGGACACGCCACGGTCTCATCCTAGCAGATCGCATCCTGGATCTGCATTTCAATCCAGACAAACTGCTCGTGGGCCGGGGAAAAACTGCTCTGAGGCAGCCGGGGAAATCAGCCGCAGGGCAGCCTACGGAGCGCACAGAACAGGATGCGGAGCAACAGAAAGAACTAATGGGTTTGGCTGCATTAGTGTTTTTTCTCCATCTGGTCTCATTTACACACACACAATATAAATTTTTGTGCAGAAATTATTTCCCTCACCCAGGAAGCTATATCTCCACTGAAATCCCAGGAGTAGTTTTATAGGACCAGCAATCATTTGCTGCAGTTTAGTAGGGGAAGTGAGGAATATCATACCCAGGTGAAAAGGCAGACAGGTGAACTGAGCAGCCATCTTCTCTCTCACAGGTGAACGGGAGACACACAACATACAGTGCTGAATGGCCAGGCCATTTTAAGGGAAATCACTGACCTCGAAACGTGCAGCTGTGCACCACATGCAACTATGACTGGGGACATTAGATGGTTGCCTATAGAGGAATGCTAGGTGTTGTATTTTCTAAACCCTGTATAGGTACAGATAAGCTTCAGGTTTGTGTAATCAATGCACCCACATAAAACCATCCCTCTTGCACTTCTCTTTACCTGATTTCAAGACCTCAAAGGACCGGGCACGTAACAGAAAGACCATCAAAACAGCTGCGATGAGCATTTTGGCACAGCTGTTGAACATGCCTGACAGAAAATACTTTGACATCTTTAAGGGAATTTTCAAGTAAAATTTAGTATCTGCTGTCCAGGAGTTCTTTCAGATGCTGGGATTTACGAATCACTTCAGAAACATCAGCTTGATTATATTTAAAGCTTACTGCAGAAAAATGTCCCCTCCACAATGGCACCTCTTGGATCAACATCAACATCCTGTGGATGCTGTCATGGCTCTCCTAAATTAGTACAGCATAAGTTTGGCTCTGTGTAGCTGAAGGGACTAGGGACAGGGCTCATGACTCTGCCAGAACTCACCTGGCTGCTTTGCTGCCTGAACCTGGTCAACATCAAGGTTCCACTGAGTGAGGGTAAGTCCTTCCCTGGCCAACTCAACTAGGTCCTGGAGGATCTGAACATCCTTCTGGCTGTGAGATAAAAACTGTCCATCTTCATGGCCTGACTTGGCTTCATCAGAAGTTTGGCCTCCAACCTCTATGCAAGTGGGACCATGAGAACTGGGGTCAGGCTGAATTTGCTGGGATACTTTTGGCTGATCAGATCCCACCGACAGCAGAAGGTTCTCTGGCTTATGATTCTGATCAAAAGAGAAGGAAAAAAAGACATCAATAAATTAGGTCCCGTTGCAGAGCTCAGAGTACAGTCTCTACCTCATACTTTTGAAACATCCAGTCAAGGATTACAGAGCATTCCCTAGCTACAAGGGCTTCTGAGGCAAAAGTTCTCTGCAGTTTTATGAAGGACTCTCTCAAGATAAGACAGAAAGAATTAGAAGAAAGGAAACTACAGCAGAAAATGTAGAAAAGGTGGTTTCTCCAGAAGCATGTCTGCGCAGGCAATTGCCAAGCAGGGATAAAGGATGGTGGAAATGCTCCCACTCCAACATCTAAATATTTCATTATAACTGGAGCGCCTGGCAACAGTTGCAGCTGAAGCTCTCCAGGTGCTTCTGTTCTGAGTTCTGAAATGCTTTTGCAGTTACATGTAACTAAATCAGACTTTCACCTTGGACGTGATATTTTCCAGGTTTGGTCTCTGTTTCCCAATAAAAATAGTTTTGTTTGTTTATTTCTAAGTAAAAATGGTTTAGCCATTTCTGTGAATGGAAAGAATCAGATAGGAAAACACTGTCTTGCCATGATTTTTAAAGGCTTTTCTACTTTTTATTTTTAAACTTCTCTGGCAGTTTTTGGCTTGAACGAAAGGCCAAATGTTCTTGTAGAATGAAGCCCCTCCAGTATGGCCCTGGCCTGCAATAAGCCAGTGAAAAACTCTGGGATTTGACTAGGGAAGAAGTATTAAATACCTCACCTATATAAGCACAGTAGTTTTTTAACAGAAGCACCAAATTCTTCAAGAAAAGAATGAGGGAAGGCTCCTTCTCAGCAAGCAAATGCGTGATGATACTAAAAGAGCTTTGTCTACTTCTGTAGGCACTTTTGATAAAAATACAGAGCACTGAAAGAGGTAGGAGATCTGGATGAAAAACAGAATGAAGCAGTGGAACTGAAAAGTGGATCAAAGCTCATATGCAACAAGAGGCAGTAGGATGCACAGGCAAAGCCTGAAGTGCAACCGCTTCACTTTACAACTCCAGGTGCTCCCACCTTCTCCTCTGTGCAAGACAAGTATCAGACTTCTCTAAACTTTTCACCCAGATCCTTGCTGAGTGTAACACAGGGGAAAAGCTCATACTAGAGTCAATCAAAGTGCCAAGAAGGAAAATAAGAGTCAGGCTGCTGTAAACATGGACAAACTAGCAGCAAAATGACCACAATGGGGTCCCTTTATTCAGTACTCTCTGTTCCCATCAGTCATATTTTCTGAAAGCTCAAGGAGTAACATGGTAACACGAGCCTTGGTCTCCTCTCTGAAAGGCAGAAATGAAAATTCAAGACCATAAAACCTAACTGTGTAAGACCAGAGGACAACAGGGCACGAGCAGTGAGTACGAGTATGCAGAAGCAGGAGATCACTTGTTTAAATATCAAATGAGGAAACAGAAGGGTAACAGGGCATGTGAACTGGTCACACGAGTATCAGAGCCAGGATAAAAGAGCAACGCACCTGCACAGGCTTCCAAGGTACAATTGGAGGGGTTAATCCAGCAGTGTAGAACAATTCAGGATCACAGGGTCCTGTCAGAGCACTGATATTCCATAAAAAACACTCCCTGGTTTTGGACAATGGCAAGAGCCAGGTTGCTTTCCTAGATTCATCCTCTAAAATCCTACTAGCGGGAAGCTTAGGGGTGGGAGGGAATTCCACTTCTTCCGCAAGCAGCATAGCTACTCGCTCTTGGATCCTTTTGCGGACCTTCTCCGGGTCCTGGAGCAGTAATGGTGGAGGTGTGGTTGGGCCTCTTTTACGCTGTTTTTTCTCTTGAAAAAGAAAAAGAAGAGGAATTCAGTTAAATAAATAGCTGAACACATAAGGCAGAGGAACTCAACATGCCAGCTCCTTCAGGTGGTGCAGTCAGTGATGACCAAAAGGCAGCTACAAGCTGAACACAACTCACAGTCCGAAGCCTTACGTCACCCTTATGGGAGGAATGAACTCCAGAAAAGACTGACTCCTGCTCACACTGCTCTGCTGCCCGTTGGGAGAAGTTACACCTCTACAAAAGCTGATCATTATGCAAGCAACTAATATCCATGCAGTCTATCTCCCAGACCCATGGAATGGTGCCTGTACGGCATTTGACTAGATCCCAGTGCTTTGCAAAAAAGAGAGGAAAAAACACCAACAAATCCATGAAGGACTCCTTTTTTTTGTGTGCAAGTCACTAATTGTATCAAACCACAGCCCACATGAACACTGAGCAGCTTCTATTTGGAAATGCTACCTTTTCCTTACTAATGCCCAACCCCAAATCCAACTGGCAGTACCTATTGGCAGGAGGAGACCTGAGCAGGGTCATGAAGAGTGAAGTCTCCCCTTTATACAGCACTCAACGCTCTCCCCTGGCAGCTGTCTTCCTTTCTAAACCTTTTTGCACACTGAAATAGTGAAGGACATGTTCAACAGCGTGTGGTATACATGTGTGTGTATTACAGAAAGAAAACAAAGAGATAGAGATAAGGCTGAAAAAGCTGCATTAATTCAGGCTGCAGCAGGATGAATAGGAAAAAATCTACTGCAGGAGAATCTTTTCGTGTTATTTCTTTTCACTTCCAGTTTATGAAAACCAACAGCTTATCTTAAGAATATTTTACAGATTCAAAACAATCAATTGGTGAAAAAAGCATAGGATTCCTAAGGGATTTCACTAAAACCTGTGGACATCCTGCAGTCTTTCTTGACAGCATGTGGATGCTGCATGTTGTTGAAGCTCTGACAGCTTAAATAAAGCAGAAACAAGGCTGTCATCCCTCCTATACCCAACAGGAAAGCTGCAGTGAAGAGCAGGCTGTGTTATATTACTCTTCCAATAACACAGCCTTTGACACTAACTCACTTAAACACATACCTGATCCTGGCTTCCACTTGATTGGCAAAGCAGCCACTGGTTTCACATTTGTAACTGATTTTGCTTGTTCCTGCTTCTCTTGCTCCAACAGAGAGCGTGACATTGCCATAGCAACCAGCAAATCTTCATCCTTCGTCTCCAGTTTGGCCCTCTTCTGCATTTTCTTCGAGTCCTCTTTGGAGGAGCCTTTTCTCTTTGCCCTGCTTGGTTGATTGCTGAAACACAAGAATGCAGCAGGAAGCCTAAGTTAGTGAGACTGGATCAGAGACAAGAAACACTAAGCACTCCAGACCAGCTGCTCTACTTGCTCAGAGAGATTCTCATATCCAGGGTAATAAGAAACTTATTCACTACTTTATTCGCTAGCAGAGAGCAAAGGATTTCTTATCACCCATGGAATCTAGAGCAATTTAGAGAAAATCTTATTTTGAAAAGGTAAGCACAAGACCACAGCACTGATGTTACCATCTGCTATCTCTACCTTGAACGCTTTTTTGTACCAAAGGGGAAAAAACAAGTCGAAGCAGGGCAGAAACAAGATCATCAGAAAATGGTTTCCTACTCTTGTGCTTCCACAAGGAAAAGGCAACGGTCCTTCCTCAGCACAAAGGGACTCATAAGCCCTTCTACGAATTCAGTCAGGCACCACTTGCTGTACTCCGAAGATTCTGCTCAAATCCAAGACAGCAGATGCAGCTCTGCATCGAGCACGTTTCAAAACATCACATCTGCTTCCTCCTTGGCTCGGGGTGTAGAGCACATATATCCAGTCACAGCCACAAGCCAAGTGGCTGAGGCGCTGGCACGACAGATGCTCAGGAGAGACTGCCCACTCGTACTCCGTGGTTTGCTCAACAAGCTCAAACACACCATTCAGCTTTATTGCGTAATCGCCGCATGGAGCACAAATGTTTCTGACAAACTGGTGTAAGATTAGTTACTCCCCATTTTGCTCCTGCCTGCTGCTTTTTAAAGTCACCCCCAGCCTGACCACTTCTGAAGGAAAGCAAGATGATTTCTCCAACCACCTACCACGTTCCACTCACGTGGTATTGGGTCATGGCTCTACTTGACCTTCTTTGGGCTTGGAGCCCACTCGGCCCGTGAGTTTGCCTTGCTTCTACCGTTCACCCCCAGGAGCAAACAGTCAATGTCTCTCAGGCCAAAGAAAGTAACCAGCATCTTTTATTTTCACCAGCTTACCCGGGACACTGAGGAGGTGTATCACCAAGTGAGGACACCTGCAACTGCACTGCCTGAAGAAGCAGCTTAGGAGGAACGTCCATCTCGACAGCACAACGTTTCAAGTGACTGACTCGGCTCTGTGGAGTCTGGAACTGCTTCCCACAGATGGGACACTCAGGGACCAGTGGTTTGCTGGAGGATGACGTCTGCGCTTCTTCCATCTCATCCAGACACCTGTGAGACGATGGCAAAGCTTACCTCTGAACGCTTTACAACTCTCCATGCTAAGATTTGAACCATATTAACCATCCCTAACATCTGCAACGGCCAGAGTAACATTCCCTAAAGAAACAAGGATTATGTACCCACCACTGTGATGAACATGACATGTAAGAGCTACACGGAAATTATGGCCTCAGAGGCATATTAAAAACATGTTGCTCAGAAGCAAGTGCAGGTAATAACCTTGAACTTCACTGCATGTCCATCACCTAATCCTTCTTTCTGCGTTCAATCTAACATTCCAGCTAACTTATAAACCACCATTAAAAAAAATGACCACCCTACCAGAGAAATGGTGAGTCTTCCTCACCTGGAACAGGACTACTTCTTGTTCTTCTTACGGCTTTTGTAGGCACAACCACGTGCAGTGTCGAGAACACAAGCGTTTTCAAGTCGGATACCTCCCTTGCCAAGGACAGCGCTTTACGGGACAGAAAAGGGGCCAGTCTAAACGAACGCTGCACTTAATAATGCACAGGATAATGACCTCCTGATAATTTCTCGTAGGCCAAAACTACGTCAAAATTTTGAATGGTTCTGCTTCTGTCCTCTCCAAAGAGATTCAGGGTGCGAAATCCTGGATCTGCAGCACCTGTTATAAAAATCACTCCCTGATTAGGTAATGACACACACTACCTACACACACAGGGTTGTGGAAGAGACCATTCATCTGATGTACCAGGACTGGGGATGACTGGTTTGCCTGTGCATCTATCCATCTACAGCTTTACCTCTTGTGATGAAGACTGCTATCAAAAAATCCATTGCTAATATAACTTTGTAATCTCATCATATGTTTACATGCTTAACAGCTCAGCAAGCAGACTTAATTTCCACCAAACACCTCCGACACACTGCCACTGTTATACAACCTCTGTCCTCTCAAGCAGCAGTAAATATATGAAGACAGAAACAGCACTAACACCTCTAAAGCAGCAGCTGCAGCTCACCCTAATAAGTGCGAGCCACTCAATAATGTGCTGCAGGACTGGACAAATCAACTCACTCTTGCCCCCTGAAAGTGCTGGAACTAAGAAATTAAAACCATTCAAACGTGCTCCTTCTGGTACTTTCTCAACAGACAAGCACAGACTTTTAATTTACAATCTGTACATAATACATTAACAGGGTTTCCTCACCACTAAGGAAACTTTGAAATTAAGAGCACTAATTTCCATTTAATTGCCCACATTCTGACAAAGGAGAAAGCAGGGACGCCTTCCCTTAGCTTCTCTACTCTCACCATCAAAGCTCTACAGTGCAAGTCAGGCACCCTTCTGAACAGCATCACCTTTCCCTCAGCAAACAGCTTGGATACACAGGACATACTAGATGTCCTTAGACAAACAATTTTCAGAGAAATAGATCAAACATTACTTCGTTGGCTGAAACTGGTAGATGTCAGAATCTGCAGTAGTATGTCCTCATTAATTTTCTGGCCACTTCCCACTCGCAGCCCCTCCGCCACACTACTGAGAACGCAGCATTGGCCTTACCAGACGCATGCAGGAGCCCTGCGGGGCCAGACAATCAGCGTCTGCTTTGAGATCAAACTGACTTGTTCATTCAAGCCACAAAGGTCAGTGCCACTAAGCAGATTCCACTGCTACCACGTTCTGTAACGGCTAAGCTGAGTGAGCAGTCCAAGAGGTTAAGGGGGAGAGGACATGCAAAGGACACGTCGTGCTGGTCCTTCACCTGTTAACATGCTGCTCTCGTCGTGTTGTGTTCATGGCTGAGAGATCCTTCTGGCAGATCTGACAAAAAAACAAGCCTGCATCCTCTAGGCTTTCCTGGGGTTCCTCTGAAGCGCCAAAGCCAGAGCACCGTCATGCTCCAGGGATGGAAGATGGTGGGTATCTGGCAAAGAAGGGAGAGATGATCTAAGACTGCAAACTAAGAATCCTGTATGACAGGCGTAGAACTGTTAGATTTCTCATTATTAGTTTATTAAACTAGTCAAGTAAAAAATATTTGCAGTCTTTCTTTTGCATCTTCGCATTTGATTTCTCACAAGGGAACGTACAAACTGCACTTTAAACACTACGGGCCTGCACCACCCTGGGAGCAGGAGGTGGCAATTCCTTCACAGCACGTCCCATGTCAGAGCCAAACGAAGGCTAAGTTTGGGCTAAAGTTTCTGGGGAGAACATGAGATCTTGAACACCACATATTGAAACACAGCAGATTTTCATGTCCGTACAGAACCAACCAGGCCTTGACTTATAAAGAACCAAAGTGGAGTAAAATTGCTGTGAATTTAATCCATCTGCATCGAACATACTACTTTTGCAGAGTGCCTGGAGATCCACCAAAGGTGGGGGGTACCTAAGAGTCATATTTACCTAACGGCTGCCTAACACTGTCCAAAGGGAAAGATGACCAAGTTCACTGATCCTGTTGGAATTTCAGCCTGTTTCCAAGAAGACAATCACCCCTCCGGAATCGAACATAAGGTTGATTCAGAGAAGAGCTGGGAGAAAAGCAGGGCTAGTCCTTTAACAATAGAGAAAGCAAGTTTTCTCAGGGATCCGGAGTGATTTATTCAGTGCTGCACACTGAGCCTCTTGGCTAGCAGGGAACAAAGCCCAGGAATCTGCACTGCTTCTCATGACGCCATTCTCACCAGCCCGCAGAACTTTTTCTGCATGTACAAGAGCTAACAAAAGAAACATACCATCCTCTGGAGGGTTCTGCTCCTGGCTTTCATCAGGGAAATCCCCGCTGGCTACAGACCTTGGCAAGCTATGATCTGTGCTGTGCTTTAGCTGCTCAGGTGCCACTCTCTTGAACTGCTGCATTCTCTCCACTACCAGCTCTGCCACCCGCATCTTCGACCCTGCGGGCGGCGGGATCTTTGAGGTGGGTGAAGAGCAGGTCCCCAGCTGTGTAGCAGGATGAAAGGATAACGTAGTCTGGGAACAGCCAATCAGAGTATTTACTAGAGGGGAGGAAAAACACAGAGCTTTACCAGTCAGTTTTAAACACACAGCTGAGGTGCCCAGAGAGCTGCTGGGAAGCCTTCCCCTTCCCCAAGGGCAGCCTAAGCCAGGCTCAGCTTTGCAACAGCCATTCTTAGAGGAAGAAGCGAACAATTTGTTTGGCCATTACATGCCACAGGGACAGTATCGGGCTCTTGTGCTACAGGGGAGTTCAGATATCCCTATATCCCTTTCAGAGGAAGGAATATTAAAGAAGGCCTTGCCTGAAGGTCACTGGTGAGAGCAACAAGCAAGGCAGCCCCACAGCTCTGCTCTCCCCAGCATTCCCACAGCAGCATGTCCTGTGGTTCCTGCCGTTCTTCGCTCTGATCTCCAAACCCTATCTGTGACTCAAACGTTCAGGCTCTGTGCTGAAGGGACCAGGAGTTCCCAGAGAGAGGTGGTATAACAAGCAGCAGGGAGAGGCAATGCCAGACTAACACCTCAGCACACCACTGCTCCATCCTGTGGATAGGGGCAGCACGCAAGATGGGATCAAAGATCTCACCAGCCCAGGATCTTGTCTCTGAGCGCAGTCAGCAACAGGCACTTAGGAAAAGGTCATCAGGACAGGACAGGTACAAAATAATCCTTCTCCTGGCTGACCTTATTTATCAGTTTAAGGACTTCTTGCACTGGTGACTGCAATCTGGCCATCATGTTTAGTAACATGAAGGACTAATAACAATAATGTTAATAACATTAACACATTAATAATGTTAATAACATGGAAGGACTAATCCTTTATGAATTAATCCAATACCCTTCTTAACTCGTTTATATTCCTGGCCTTGACAACACCCAATGGCAATATGTTTCACAATACAACAACACACTGGTGAAAAAGCACCTCAATATATTCCAAGTTTGCTTCTAGATGATTTGAAGGTGTTTTTTCTCAGTTCTGATTTTGCAAAAAAACAGTGAGTAACAACTCCCTGATACATCACTTTGTACCAAGGCTTCACCTTACTGAAGGACACCTTCTGCCTGCCTGTAGCACAGAACACACTCCTGGGTTAAACCCCTGGATAAGCCTAAGTAGCCGAGTGTAGACTGAAACACAAGATGCAAGTCCGCTTCGACCAGTGCTGCTACACGTCCCCTCCAGGTGGACTTCTGAAGAGCTCCACTGAACTACAGAATGTTTTCAGTCCTGGCCTACTTTCTGTTTAAAAGATTTCCGTTCACTCACCTGTCAGAGTCCTCTGGCTACACTCACTGGCCACTGTACTCAGCTGGCTGGCAGGGAAAGGGTTTCTCTCTCCATCCTCTTGTGCAGTCTCACCACTACTACAGGCCACAGCATCACCATCTTCTTTGTGCACCAATGTTTGTTCCTTTGGACCCAAATCTTGAGGCAAGTTTGTTTCCTTCACTGCTGGTAGGCGATGATGATTTTGGCTTTTAGCAGCAGCTTTGCCTCTTTTCAATCTACCTCTTGCCGCAGTGCTCTTTGACCTGTGCTGAGTCCTCTTTGCTGCTTCAGCATCCCCAGCTTTTTTCTTCGCTCGTCCCAAAAGATTTGCCCACAACTCTTTAAAATCATTGTCCTGTTCATCCATTGGCCTGCAGGTTCCAGAAACACCGTGGCCTAATGACAGCGTGAGGTTGGGAGGGCAGGGGAAGATACCAGAGTCACTTCAAGTTTGCATCTTCTGTGAGCTGCAATTTTCACCAAGTCCCTTCCACCACCTCAAAGATCTCCATTCTCCAGGCTTCAACGAGGTCAACACAGTGGGCACCTTTCCACTGTTCTGACCGTTCATTCTTCCACACTTAATTCACAGCCATTTAGTAGAGCACGTTCTCTCTCCAAGGACCCCACTGGCTTTCACACATAATGCACTGACAAGGTGGTTCTTCAGAGGTCTCTAGATCGTAAGTTAAGCACCTCAGCTTGTGCAGAGCATGCACAGGATCTTCCTGATATGCTACAGGACTTCAGAACGACACTTAATAGAGCCCTTAAAAAAGAAATAAAAAAAGGTGATTGTGTAGGATGGTATATGCAGATGCACTGTGGGACAGGGCTGGGGTAGAACTTTGAAGGAGGAGAGAATTTGTATAAAATAGTAAGATTAGAAAAAGCACATATTGACCCAAAACACTATCACTATAACTGTACTACAGACAGGCACAAGCCACATTAGGAAAGAAGAGGATAGCGTTCAAACCAGGTATCTGCTACTGGCTAGGCTTTTGTCCTGGAGCGCAGGATTTGAGACTGTCCTTTTTCGATATGCGTTCATACTTACATTTATATAACACAAGACCAGAGAATGCAGCAGGGGAGGAAAAATAAAAACGTCCTTCAGATCAAGCAGCTATTCTAGAACTAAAATTCTGCTTTGCGACACAGCAGCTCTAAAGAGAAGAGCCCGACCTCATTTTGAGAAGTAAATCGAGGCAGATTCTGGCATTTCAGAAGGGTTTCTGGGACAAGTCTGAGAACAACTCTGTCAAACATGTTCATCCCTTCTCTCCTTTCACCTCCGAGGCTGCTCACATTCAGGATTAGCTCTCCTGCTAACACTGAACTCTGAGGACTCAATAAACCATGGCACTGACCATGTTTCACAAACTGCTGTCAAATACACAGGTAAACAGATTAAGCAAACAGTATTTTAGAATGAGTTTCTTAATCTTTTTGGCCACAGAAAGAACAGCAGTAATAGCTAGAGATGACTTGGCGCAGCAGATGTCCAGATGGAAATGCCATCAACCCAGGCAACATTAAAACTAGATCTCTATTCTTAGACATTTTGATTGTCCTCTTCTTCCTAGTCCTAAGTTCACTACGGTTCTCGCTATTTTACCAGCGGTTTTATATTGCTCCCAAAACCTATTTCTTTCAAACCTAAACCAGAGTGTTTCACTTGGAATGGCAGCAGCTGTGGTTCAGTTTCTCCAGTAAAGCTCTGGGCACGGAAAGACTCAAAAAAGCAGGAAAAACACATGCGAGATTGTTTTCTCAAATGGCTTGGCTGCAGACATGCGAGGCTAAGGAATGCTGGTTACACACTTTCATGGATCAGCCTTTCCTATAAGCAATTACAGATGTTAATGGATTTATTTACTTTAAACTCAGGCTCCCAAACCAGCAGAGGATTTCGCTGTGAATCTTGGAGTCATTTCCTGTTAGAGAGAAACTGAAGTTTCATGTAGCCAGTTCATAAATTCAGTTTTCCTGGACAGAAACTTGGTGTAGTTATCACTGTAAATTGACCATTTTCTTCTAAGTAGGATACAGCATGTGGGGAAAACAGCATCTCACATCCTCCATGGCTTTAAATATCTCTCACAGACACATTTGTACTGTCGTATTATTTATGGTGAGTTCCTGATATTAAACTTTGAAGCAGATCAGCACTTTGGCCTTTGCAAAATGTTCAGTGCCCCAGGCAGACCAAGTCAGACATACAAACGATGCAAAACTAGCTAAGAATGTATCTGTGTTACCCCCGTTTCCAGACTTACATTTGCAGGCTCCTGCCCTGTTCAACATCTCAGTATTTCTGCTGCTGCTGCTACTGGTTTACCTAACAGCCAGTTTTGGCGACAGTTTGTAGAGCCTGAAAAGTAATGGCTTTGAAAATAACGGCTTTGAAAATAACTTCTTTCGGTATAGTATTCAATTCATTTTGGAAGATTCTAGGACTCAACAAATCACAAAGTTGATCAAATAAAATAAACAGCAGCACTTACCTGTCGACTTAGATGCAAAATCTATAGCCCAGCTGTGCCCTTCAAGTACATGTGGATCAGAAAAATGGTACAAAGCCGGACCAGTAAGAAGGAAAGATGGAACCTGGAAAATGGAAGGAAAAGGTTAGATTAGTGTTTTTTGTACGGGCTGCTCCTTCTGCTTAAGTTCCAAGTTGCAGGGGGAGAGAGACAGCAACAGCACATGCTCCAACGGTGCTAAGTTCTGCCAGTTCCGTTGACCTGTGTACTTGACATATGCGAGTCAAAGACACGTTGCTCAGGGTCTGCGCAGCCCAGCAGTGCGTCCCCAGCACTGAACAGCACCGCACGCTGCTGCAGAAAAAGTCCAGAACCCTCCAGAACGCAGAACAGGTCAGGCAGGCTGGATACAGCTGAGGAACTTGGTCTGACCCCACAGCTGACTCTGCTTCGAGCAGGACATTGAACTAGAGACCTCCTGAGGTCACTTCCAGCCTGAGTTATCCTATGATCCTACAAACAGTCCGTCCTTGCCTTTTCCATTTGGGACTAATTTTGTTTCCTGGTAACTTTCTTTAAACCAGAACCACAAGAGTTAACTCTTCCAGAAATCCACCAAAGTTACTATCATAACCCTCCAGCCATACAACTCTCACATTTTTGATCCTGCCATTTTCAGGCTCGCAGGCATCTCCTGAACGGAGTTCCCCTGCTTAACTGAATAAATCCAGGAGAAAGTACCCCTTCTCATCAGCTCTGTTTGCTTCCTTGGTGCTTCACTGACTGTCTGCTGCTGAGACAAGGAGGACAGAAGCGCCAAATCCACTCCCTTTAGACCTCTCGTTATTTTACATATATGTATCAAATCCTTCAGTGTCTGTGCTCTAAAGTAAGAGTTCCAGTCTTTTCCCTTTTCCTAGGAGAGCCTTTCCTGGCCCTGAACCATCTCCATCAATAGTCCCTGCATCTCCTTCAATCTCCATTGCTTCTTCTGAGACACACTGAGCAGTACTGCAGAGAGCAGACTGCTGGTAACTGCTGATGAGGAAGTTCTATAGTGTTCACCCTCCTTCCCCACCCAGGCCTCGCAGGTCGTAATTTCTTCTTTGCTTTGTTTTGAAAGCACCTGCTTGTTGAACAAAGGTTTCACCTGAACAGAGATGCCCAGGGCTCTTTTGGTATCTGGTATTGTTAAGGTGTTCCGTACGGTTTATCTCTTTTTCCACCTCCTCCACACTGAAGTTCCTAATCTACTGTGTTCCCTGCAGCTCGGAGCCTGCTGGAACCACCTCTGATCTCGACTGAGCTGAAGAAGCTGCGTCATGGCCCAGTGGGACCACCAGGCACACGCCGAGGTGGATTCAGAACAAACCCTGGGATGCTCTTTGCTACTTTTCAGTTAGTTTCCTCTCTTAGATCGTTTACCATTCATGACAATTCTTTATCTCTTGCCCCTTTTCAAAGGATTTCTGAGCAAGCTACATTAAACCGTTCTTTCTTTCCTGATTTGTTGACAAATCCAAGCCACTCCATTAGACTACTGAGAGACAGTCTACTGGAGAAACTATGCTACCATGTTAACAAGATGCTGTCAGGTTGAAACTACATTATCACAGACATCTACAGATAACTTGATGATCATTTCATCCAGTTTAATAGGTACATATAAAAGACTGACTGCCTTGTAATTACTTGGTTCAGTCATAGAATCCTTCTTACAAAAACCACTCAACCAACAGGTAAGACATCTGCTCTCCTCCCACCTTTCAGAGCAGCTTCTCTTTTAACAACTGAAAGCGTATTTCTACCAGCAGTCCAGCCACTTGACACGATCTCGAACATACATCTGGGCCTGCTCACTTGCTGCTTTAAACTGCCTATTTGTTCCAGGAACAATTCTCCTGCCATTTCAGTCTCCAAGAACGTGTCATCAGCGTGGCTAGAAAGCATAGATCAGTGCTAGGCAGACCTCAACATCTTGTACCCAGTATATACCTTCTTCTCTCTCGATCCCCACGGTGGTTCCTCAATTACTCCTCACATCGTCCTCAATTACTCATCTTCAAAGAAAGCCTGACTCAAAAAAGGAAAGTGTCATGCTGCCTTGGGAGCAATTTCCCGAGTTTCACAAGAAATACTAGGGGAAGTGGGATTATTTAACACTAGAAAGCGAGGCAAAAAGTAATCTGGATCTTTTCTCATACGTACCATTTCCTCGTGGTGAAAGCACAAATCAGCCCACTCTGTGCACAGACCCTCTCCCCCCATCTCCACCAGTGAAACATCCTAACAGGTGGCTGCATTCCTAACTGGGCATAGGAAGACACGGTGCTGAGTCTGCAGCACCCGTCTCCACTAGACAGGAAACACGGAGTGAAGCTGTGCTGTGTGCCAGGCCGAGTGGGTTGCTGCAGGAAGCGTGGCACCTTTCCCAGCAGGAGCACCTTCTCCTGCTTCCTCCACCAGCAAGATCAAGATAGGAGTGGTCCTGACAGTCCTGTAAGGCTGGCCAGGACTTCAGGGAAAGTCAAAGAATGGGATCAAAGTGACTGATAACACCTCAGCCTTCATGAATGAGTTAATTGCCGTGGCCTGTATGAACCCAGGCTGCTAATTACAGCGTGTTGACAGCAGACAGGATGATGGGATGCTGTATGGGCACTGAAAGTTTTACTGCCCCCTCCCCTTCTCCTTTTTTGAAAACTGCACCCTTCAGATCTGAAGGTTGGTAGCAAAACTTTCAATCAAGCCAGTCCAAATACTGCAAAGGGAAAGAATTTCTGTAGTGTTTGTTCTGGAAACCACACCAGAAGGCAGTCCCTAGGGATTCTTCCAGACCAAATCCTGTAACAAAAAAGTCTTCCTACAGGTTCCTGAT